CTAAATCATAATTATATATTTCTATATAATAATGTTAATATTAAATACCAAATCAATAATAATGTGATCATTGTAATTCCAGATAGATAAAAACTTTTCAAAATATGCTTTAAATACATTAGTTAAAGCTGATTTCTCATAGAGGGCTAAACCAATTTGTAGTGAATGATCATGGTCCTAAAAGTGTATAAATAAATAAATAATTAAACGGGTTACATCAAAATCAAAACTTACAATTGGTGTAATAAAACTCTCAGTCTCTCTATTATAATGTCTAAGCGATCGGATGAGCACCAGATCTCTGGTCCCGTATTTCATGAGCGCATACTTATCGTCGGCACAGATATTGTTGAATCCGTTGAGACTTTTTGTGGATTCAATTAATAATTTAACACATTTTTCATTTATATATTGATATCCAGACATTAATTCTTCCCAATTCTTAATTAAAAGTATATTTGTATTGTTATTCAACGGATGTTTAAATTCCTTGTAAGCCATCAGTAGTTCTGCTATGCGTTTAGACTCCAATTGATTGATACCATTATAATCACTGATTGTCTTAAATATAGGAATTACTGCCAATTTTTGCCGTTTATTCTTGTGATAAGATTTTATATTTGTATTATTTTCAATCACAATGTCTTTGATATTATTAAAATCAAGTAAATTATTGTCTACTAAACCAAATGTAAAACTCTCGTCAATAGTTGTGCTGATATTCACTGAATTATTATTATTTGAAAAATTGATATTATTATTGGATTCATCTCTCAGTTCATGTTTTGACTTATTTTCTTTAATTAATTCATTTTTGCAATTGTTTTGCTCATCATTTCGTATATATTCCTGAAATTATTAATTCATTCATTACTACTTTCATCAAAAATCCCAAAACAATTGATTATAAATACCGTTTTCATGCCGAAAGCCAAACACTTTTCAAACCTACATTTACGACACATCCGTCTCGTCATTACATTGATATCGCATTTGCCATTTGAGGGACAAATAAATTGCTATAAATATAATGTAATTTATTTTTAACACTTAATTTAAACACAAAATATAACAAAAACCTCAGTTTTAAGTCCATTTCTACGAAAGAAAGCCTTACAGCTCTCACAAGTTATAGCACCAAAGTTTCGGGCTATAAATACAATGTTAATTGTATTAGAAGTCAATTAGGGTTGTATTATCCTGGCTAACTTACCTCGGGCTTTATCAAGGCAAATATCACATATTTTGGTAAAATTCTTATCACTCATATCTATTAATTTGTAGTTATATATAAAAAATAATACTAAAATTTACAAATATTTAGAAAATAAATTAATATGTTTGTTCACAAACAATTTACCTGTAAAATGAATTCTCAAGTAATTCTCTCTAAACATTAATTACGAGAACGGGAAGGGAATGAGAATTGAAAAAATTATACCTATATTATACACTTATTACTAGTTTAAGTATTAAAGTTATATCAGTAGAAAGGGATTGAAATATTTTGCAATAATTTATTTTTACGTACAGTAAATGTGTTGTGACATTGAAATCCTCTCACTGAATGACTTTTACAAATATAAGTTATTATTAAATTCAATGACAAATATTATATCATTGTTAACTTTGTCTACTCGTACTGTACAGTAGTGATCATTATAAATCTCTGTATACAAATAGTTTTTGACATGTAATTCATTATTTTAACTTTAAAATTTTTCAAACTTATAGTATTTAATTGATAATAAATTTCAGACAATTGACAGTTAAACTACAAAAGTTAATAAACTGAAAATTTATATTTATATATATTTATAAAACTATCATAATTATAAATTTTACAAGTTTAATTTTAATCTTAATTATTATACCTGTATAACATTGCAAATAAAACATAAAATTTAAAAACATTTAAAAGCCATCATGGCAAAAATATTTCCTTCATAAGAGGTCCAAAATATTTTGTATAAAAATTAAATTCATCGAAATGTTTGATTTGATATTCATTTAAAGTATTCATATCTTTCAATGAATTCATTATTTCCTGAAGTCTTGTCTGTGATTCAGATTCCGAGCGATATTTCAATAGTAGATATCTTTGCAGTAAATATATATACAGTTGTTGTTCGAGTCTAACATACAATTAATTAATTAGTATTATTATTAGACCATAATCAATAAGTAAATTTATTAATTATTATAATCATTATGAGTAATATACTTGCTTGATTATATTTCTATGTACTAAATTGGGTTGAGCTGGATTGAAAAGCATAATTGTTGTCAACTTAATTAAAATAAAAATTAAAAAATAATAATTACACTGTACTTAATTGTACTCAAATTAATTAAAATACCAATTCAATTAAAATGTGATCATCATAATTCCATATTGATACAAACTTATCATAATATGTTTTCAATGTTGTCCATAAATGGATTGGTTCATAAAGGTTCAAGCTAAATTGTACTGCATGACTTGGATCCTAAATAAATATTAAATGTAGTTTGATTTAACAATCATGATAATATTAAACTATAACTTACAATTGGTGATATAAAACCATCGATCTCTTTATAATAGTATTTAAGACTACGGATTAGCACCTGATCTCTGGCCCCATATCTCATGAGCGCATACTTATCGTCGGCACAGATATTGTTGAATCCGTTCAGACTTTTTGAAAAATTAATGATTTGCTTAACAAAATTGTCGTTTAAGTCTCGGAATCCCAAAAACATTTCATCAAAATTTTTAATCCTATGTATACTCGCATTGATATTCAATGGATAATTAAATATAACCGAAGCGTTCAGTAGTTCTGCTATGCGTTTGGACTCCAATTGATTGATACCATTATAATCACTGATTGTCTTAAATACAGGAATTACTTGCAATTCTTGTCGTTTACTTTCATTGTCAGTATTTATATTCTCATTAACTGGTATTAAAACAGATGTTTCACTTGTTTTGTTTTCAAATACAACTAACTCCTTTTCAATATCACTAATAGTGAGTGAATTGTTGTCTAATAAATTAAAGGTAAAGTTGTCATCAATAGTTGTGTCGCTAAACATTGAATCGATATCTGAATTATTAACCGAGAAATCAATACAATTATTGGATTCATCGCTGAGTTTATGTTTTAATTTGTTTTCTTTAATCAATTCTTTCCTAAAATGGTTTTCCTCATCACTTCGTATTAATTCCTATTATATTTAAATATAATATATTTGTTATGAAAATATATTTAAAGTAATAATTAATAAATACTTTTTTCAGTCCGACTGCAAAACACTTCTTAAGCCTACAGTTACGGCACATCCGTCTCGTCATTACATTTATATCGCATTTGCCATTTGATGGACAAATCAATTGCTATTAAAAATAAATGACTTTAATTAACAATAATTAAAATTTATATCATTTACAAATATTTATAATTAATATGTAATAAATACCTGTTCTTTAAGTCCATATCTCCTAAAGAATGACTTACACGACTCGCACGTAAAGGCACCAAAATTTCTAGCTATAAACATGATAGATTATATACAATAATACAATAAACATTATTATTTAATTTACCTCGTCCTTTATCACCGCAAACGACACAGATTTTGACTATTTTTGTATAACTCATAGTGTGTTTTATATTTAAAATAATTTCCTTAACTTAAACAACAATAATATTTGATTATAACATTCAAAACAACACACAAACACCAACCATGATGTAAATGATGTAAAACACTTGAAATCACTTTTTGATCAATAGATAAGTGCTGTAATCACTTAATGACAGTCAATTGACTTGATAAGCCATTGAAGGTTAACCAAATAAATTATATGTTAATTATTATTATTATTTTACAAACGTATTGATTATTTCGAAAAAGATAACATGTTAAAGCAAGCGTTGTTTGATCTAGTCACAATTGTGGTTAAAATCAAGCAGTTTAGTTTTTATATTAATTTTTACATGCATTCTTAATTAGCTGAACCTCGAATACTTGAATAATTAATACTGCTTATGAACTTTGCATTATTATGAGTTTACTATTAGCTAATAAAATCATTATTACCACAAACTTTACGGTAGATTTAGCATTTCTATATATTTAACGTTGTATCATAGATAAAGCATTAAATAGACTTAAATTAAATACTTAAAAATAATTATTATGTAATAATAGAAATTTTACTGGTTTTTAAAAATCATCTTAAATAATCCATAAATATTTATAAAATAGATTAATTTGAGATTAAGTTTAATTAAACTTATAATAATGTCACATTTTTAATTATTTAAAAAAACCTCATTCACATTTAATATAATTACATACATTAAATATATTGTCACATAAATTCAGTATACATTTTGTATATATTTTAATACATTTCAATATTTGCTTTCCGGGCCTAAGAATTGGCGAATAAAATGTTGCAAAAGTGTTAATCAAACTGTTGTACAAAATCGGTATCGTTTGTCACGATTTGTATAATAGTTTCGCTAAACTCTTACAACACAATGAATATAAACAGAATGGTGTCAACACAAATGTTCACCACGTTTAGAGTTGTTTATGACCTCAAGTATAGCGTGGGCAACGGTCAAAAAACGAGGTCCACAATGTTCTGGTTATGTTTGATATAATCGTGGTCAATCAATTTTTACATAAACATATGTTTAAATAAAAATAACAACAAAAAGTTACTATACCTAAGTCGCGGAGTTTATAAAATGTTGAGCATGTTTCTAATAACCGCATTCTAATAACCGGAT